GACTCCCACCGTAGAAAATTTGAGATCTCTCTCTCTAGCCGAATTTTTTATCGGAAGCTCTTTCTCAAATATTTTAGGTAAGGGGCTTCATTATCTTGAAAAATAATCCGCCCTTTTTAAAAATGAAATGAAATAATTATTTCAGCTTATTATCATGAATTTTAGGCACGATAAATTTTATGCGCAAGTGACCTCATTATTTTGAAAATAATCTTTTTAATAAAATTATAATATTAGAAATTTTAAATGCTGTAAATTCTTAAAAATAAATTTATTTCTTACCTAAAATTTTTGAGAGGGAGCTTGCGATAAAAATTCGGCTAGAGAGAGAGATCTCAAAATTTTCTAGGGTAGGAATCCGCGCCTCTCGTATTTAAATTCTTAGGATACTATATTATATTCTTTTATTAAGTTATACCTCACACATGAGGTGTAACCGCTAATTATACTTTAAACACTTAAAAGCCCACGTCCTTTAGTGGACGTGGCAAGAGCAAGGCAGCAAAAGCTTTAAACCAAAAGCTTTTTGAAAATAGACCATCATGCTCAAGAAAAGAGTTGACTTGGGAACAAGAGTAGCATAATGGTTTTGGCCCCTTCTTCCAACTATATTGTTTTCATTGATATCTTGGTATTTTAATTAGACTTTGCATATCCACAACTAACGTTCTTTTCTATCATTATTTAAAAAATAATAAAAAAAACTTTTTTATTATCTCTTCACATTTTTGTTTCGTTTGAAATCACAACTCCCTCGATAAATAAACTTAGTTGCGATGCGCATGTATGTATGTTTGCAGGCAGTTGTTTGGGCCAGTGAAGTACCTTCAAAGGGTGCACACGAGCGGGGGATTGAGCCCAATCAATAACCAAGAGGCTAAAGTTGGCGATCTATATGCTTCTCCTTACACTGCGGTTTATTGGTTCTATTATTCCTAGTCTGATCTAATGATATCAAGCTCTCTCTGTCGAATTTTTTACTTTTTATTTTTTTGACAATGCTCAAGAATTTTATTAATAAAGAGGAATAATCAAAAGCACAGTCGAATAAGCACTCTTTTAGCTAAAAAATCAACTAACTCATGCCATCAATAGATATCTCAAGCCTGCATTCCTCTATGAGCATGGAAGTGTTGGATAATGACTTCTCTAGTGCTTGAGCGTTTGTAATTTCCACACCTAGATATTATACCTTAGGCTATATTTGATTGCACTCAAATATCTGAATATTTCAAAATTTTAAGTGATTCAAAATAGTTTAATCATAGTTACTTGACGCTCCAGCTCCAGAAATTTCGCTCCGGCATTCTAGAGCAAGGATCTTGCCTGGAACCCGTTTCCATCTTTTTGGGATCTCGCTTCAATTTTTAGGATTATCGATCCTATATACAACGGAGCTCGCTCCCGATGCTACAAGGAACACATTCCTTAAATTTTAGAATCTCGTTCCTAAATAAATTAGATCCCCGCTCCCAGAATTTTAAGAGCACAATCCCTACATATCCGAAACTCCATCCCTATTTTTCCAAAACATCCTAAAAAAAACTTTTTAAATAAAATTAATTTTTAAAATAAAATAGTTATAGTTTAAGCCAAATTTTCATAAAAGCGGAGTTCTGTGATGAGAGCGTGGACTAATCATGCACAGAACACGATTCTTCCTTGAATGGAGGATACTTTCCAAATAAGAATGCGGTCATTCTCAGATCGGAACGCAATCCTGTTGTTGATGGGAGCACGATCCTAATGAATATGGGAACACGATCTCATTTGACATAGAAAGCATTCCCGTTAAATAAGGATCTTGATCCCAATGTATTGGGAAAGGGCTCCCTGTTCATACGGGATCTCGATCCGCTACTTTTACCCTCACCGGAACTCGCTCCCCAAGCTCTGAAGCTTTGGGCAGTCGTCGCTCCTGTTGGAAATTTGCGAAAGCGTTGATATAATAATTTGATTAAAAAATAACAACGAAAGATAATTGAGGTGAAGAGGAGGTAGTATGACTCGACGATAGTTCCCTATTTCATAGAAATAATTTTGATAACAAACAATTGTTACCTTCTTTTTTAACTTTATTTTACATACAATGAAACCCTTGGATCCATTTTTCGATTTGCTATCACCCCTTTTTTATAGGCTTTTTGGACCGTTGTATGTACCGTCAACTTTTTTCTACCGCCATACTAAACGGTTCTTGGTGGTCCTCCAATATCAGTTTTTCTTCATCACGAGGTAACCAACACACGAAAATATTTGTGTATGCCTTCCTTTTATTGGTGGAGTGACGTGGAATAGTTTGGGAGAGAGAGAATGAAAAGCGATGATGGGTTGAGGCGGTGATGAGAGAGAAAGGCCAATTAATTTTTTTAACATCCCCTTTTAATTTGTCACTCTCATTAAATCTCTGAACTGGATGAATTTCTCACTTGAAATTGTCTTTGAGAAGATGTCTACAAGTTGGTCATTTGTGTTGATGAATTTTGGTTTGATTTCTCTTTTTTCAACTAGCTCATTGATGAAATGATGCCGTATTTCTATACGCTTCGAGCGACTGTGAAATACTGGATTTTTTATCATTGCAATAGCTGACATATTGTCATAGAAAATAGTTGTAAGGGTATTCTGCTTTTGCTGTCAGTCTGATAACCACGACATCACTTTTGTAACTAGGCAGAATATATAACCGGAAGTGCTTTTTCGATCATCAACAGAACCTGCCCAATCACTATCAAAAAATCCAACAAGATTAGTATTATTTTCATAAATATATTTGATATCGTGTTTCTTTGTTCCCTGGATATATCTTAAAATCATTTTTGTTGCTGAAAAATGCAATTTGCTTGATTCATTCATGAACCTGAAACAAATACTAACTGCATGCACAATATCTGGCCTTGTATTAATCAAATAAATTAAAGATCCAACCAAGCTTCGATAAATCGATGCATCAACATTTTTTGCACCATCATATTTTGACAATTTTTCATTCACTGCCATTGGAGTACTCACTGACTTGCAATTTGGTATTCTGAATCTTTTCAAGAAATCTTCAATATATTTTTCTTGAGAGATCAATATTTCTCCATCTTACTGTTTTACTTGGATTCCAATAAAATATTTCATAATTTCCAAATCAATCATTTCATATTCGTTCATCATGGCTTTCTTAAATCCTTGCATCATTTTTTTGTCCGTACCAGTACAAATCAAATCATCCATAAAAAGGCATACAATTAGGAAGGAATTTCCACTTCCTTTTTCACATAAAGTAAAAGCTCACTTGGGCTCCTTTCAAATCCTAGATTATGTGCTCAAAGGGGGAGAAACTTATCCATTGCGGCAGGCTTGGAGTTCGAAATTCAGACCCTCCCATTTTTGGATGAGTTTGGGTGGTTGAAGTTGAAACCCTTCACAACCAAATTAGGGGTTTTTTTGTGGAAACCCATTTGATTTTTATTTCCCCATCCTCGATTATGAGTTCAGACTTCAAAGCCCAATGATTCTAGGGCTTCTTGAGCCCCTTTACCAAATTTGGGGTTTCTTCAAAAACCTATCTGATTTTCATTTTCCAGTGCTAGTTTGATGTTCAAAGCCTAAGGATTCTGTGGGTTCTTGAACCACTTCATAACCAAATTTGGGGTTTCCTAGAAAACCCCTTTGATTTTCACTTTCCTCTCCTGGTTTTAGTGTTAAGCGAGAGCTGCAAGACAATTTGGGGGTTCTTCAATCCCTTCGCAACCAAATTTGGCCTTTCTTCGAAAGCCCATTTGATTTTAATTTTCCCATCCTGGTTATAGAGTTCGAATCACAGTGATTTTGGGGTCTCTTAAACTTTTCAAGATCAGATATGGAGTTTCTTTGAAAATCCATTCGTTTTGTCATTTTCTTGTGCTGGTTTTGGTGTTCAAAGCCCAGCGATCTTTGAGGCCCTTGAACCCCATCACAACCAGATTGGGATTTCTTTGTGAAACCATGTGGTCATCATTTTCTCTTCCTGGTTTTAGCTCTTAAAGACCGTTGATTTTGGGTGTACAGGTTATTGATAGAGTTTTGGGTTCTCTTTTCAGGACAGAGGGAAATCAGTGAAGCAAAGGAGGAGGGATCTAGAGAGAATTAGGGTTGAGATGTTGGGGTAAATAAATTTCTTGTGGAAATTCATTTGATTATCTAACAATAAGAAATGGAAATACCGGCAAGGAATCCATGAATTTTCAAATTGCTTGCCAATTTCAAAAAACGGAAATCCAATTAAGGAATCATTGATTTCAAAATGTATGGATTGTTGAAATCCATGAATTTCAATGTACCTCTTACCAAACATCGTCTTATAAATCTACATAATACTGCTAACAAAATTATCATTTCAGCAATCCAATATCTACGGTGGATAATCCAAGAGAATGGAGAGATTGAGGAAGATATCATACATACAACTAGAGTTGGAGGCGCGAGATGGAGAGATTTAGTTCAAATGAAAGGCTCTAAAAGGGCAAGAAGAAGGCCCAAAATGACATGGATAAAGTAATAAAACGAGATATGGTGACTTTTGGTCTTACAGAGGGTATGGCTCTTGATAGAGAAGAATGGAAGAACATATTCATGTAGTCCATAAGGCTTGGATGATGATGATAATGATTGAACCTTAAACTTCAAGACCGAATAAGTGCCGAGGACATATCTAACCAATGAAAAAGGACATTTTTTCTCCTTGTGAGGCTAATGTTGCTGCTAATTGAGCTTCAGTTTCCTGTCATCGAGGATCCCACACAGCTTATGTGCATGAAACAAGGTGCAAAAATAGCATGTCACGTTCGATTTATAAACTCACGAGATGAAGCAATCCAGGGAGTGCCACTAACATATGGAGAGTTGAAGCAGGTTCAGAACTGCTCAGGCATAATTTACCATACAGCACCAAAAACATCAGCACTCTATAACCATCCAGTAATCCTAGAGACCTTAAGTATAGAACCAATAGAACATAGATCAACAAGAGAGGAGGTCCATTACATTTAGTCGTAGATGGAGGTTAGGACATCAAAGAGAGAGAGTATTAGGGACAGTCACATGAATCCAAAGCAATAGTAATGCAGGGAGCTGCAAATATCAAGAGCCCAGAAGCCCAAAACAAAATAGTTGCATCTAAATTCAATGCAGACAACATCAAGACCCCCAAAGGAGGGTTGTTCAACAGTATTGAGATGCTTCAAAAAAGTAAAGTATCACTTTTTCAAGTACCAGTACTCTCAGCCAGCAGTATTTGGTGGGACATAAATACAATGGACAAGCACTAATTAAATCTTCAGGAATACAGACTCCCATCAAAACTTGCACACCAAAGTCAAGTTAAGACACCAAACTTTCTATTTATTTACAAATTTTCAATGGAAAATACAAAAATATTCCAAAGAACATAAATAAGAAAAACATATGAAATATACAAAAATAATAATACACATAAATATCAAATACATAGATTATTCATAAATTATGACATCCAAAACTGATGAGTTACATTTAATACATTAATGTTCTATAACGTAAAAATATTGCATGTATATTACCTCATGCATAGAATGATGTATGCACAAAGAGAGCATGTATACTATGTTCCCACGGGAGCATAGTATATGTTTACTCCCTCGGGCAAAAGACACTTACTAGGGAGGATTTTTTCTATTTCAAATTTTGGGAACCACCTAGGAATCACTAGATGATTATCTTCAGAAGAAATTTGGTATCTTGAGTTCCCTAACATGTAGGTCTTAGTCTTACCTCCAACAATTGAACGGTCTTTGTTCAATCTAGGGACATTATTCTTTTGAAGCACATAGAGTGTGATTTGAAAATTTCTAATTTATTGCGGTCAGTCCATGGTTTGGACAGGTTATATCCCCAAAATTCGGGGTCCCAAAAGTACTCCTAGATATGGTTTTACCGGAGGGAATAAATCCACAATGTAACCCCGCAGGAGCACGAAATCTTTTGGCTACACAAAACACCAATAAATATATATGGATATTGATTCCATATTGCATTTTCCATACTCGAACAAAGGAATACTTAACTTATTTTTCATCATTAAGCTTTCATCATGTAATCATCAAGTTGCACAAAGAAGTGAGATAAATAGAGATTTCCTTAAAATAGATTAATACTTAATATTCTTAGAATCATCTTTTTAAATTCAAAGACTTCTTTTGGTTCAAAGCTCACTGGATTGAGTCAAGACTTAGTCAGCCAAATCAGCTTGTGGCTAGGCCCTTTTTTACTTTGGTGATTGGTTAGCTAAATCCAAGCATAAGCATTGGAAGGAAGGATCCTTTCCAATACTTTATGCAACCAAAAAGGGCGTTAAGTAGGGATGCTCTAGTTGAACCAAATGAGAGTCAATAGCTCGAGGTCTCAGGTTGGAAGCTGTAGTATTTCCTCATAAACAAGTATGGAACCTCAAGCAAGCATTCAAAAGGACTTCAGCTTTCTTATCAGCAATTAACATTGCACTAGTGGAAGTCTCACCACTATTTGGTGGAGGCCTCAAATGCCAATCAAGTCCCAAACAAATGGATGAATTATACAAAAATTGGAAAATCCAAAAGAAATGTCAGATTATGTCAAAGAGTTCAAGAGGACCAATTCATTCAAAATTACGACAACTGTGTATATCCCTTGTGTTGCATAGTTTTAGAAAGGACCAAGGAGGAAAGCAATAAAAAGATAAAAAATGTATGTGCAAAAGACTGAGTACTGGAGGTATGAAGCGGAGTGTTTCAGAAGCTCCACAAAAATGGCGTATGATGAATAAGTGCCCTTTTGCAAACAATTGAGCATATGCCTAGATGTTTTATATATATATATATATATATATATATATATATATATATATATACACACACACACACAACAACATATACTACTACTATACTATACTATTATATAGTGTAGTATTAGTATTATAGTTAGTAGTACGTAGTAGTAGTGTAGTTAGTAGTAGT